AATTGATGCTTTTGAACTGTGGTGTTGGAGAAGACTCTTGAGAGTCCCTTGGACTGCAAGGAGATCCAACCAGTCCATCCTGAAGGAGAGCAGTCCTGGGTGTTCATTGGAAGGACTGAGACTGAAGCTGAAACTCCAATACTTTGGCCACCTCATGCGAAGAGTTGACTCATTGGAAAAGACGCTGATGCTGGGAGGGACTGGGGGCAGGAGGAGAAGGGGATGACAGAGGATGGGATGGCTGGATGGCATCACCAACTCGATGGACATGAGTTTGAGTAAACTCCGAGAGTTAGTGATGGCAAGGAGTCCTGGCATGCTGTGATTCATGGGGTCACAAAGAGTCGGACTCCACTGAGCAACTGAACTGAACTGAACCATCTGCTTTTCACAATGATGGAAGTAAAGCTAAATGGGTCAAATACCAAAAATACTAGACATGGATGAGGATCCACTCAAATCTGTTCTGGCCTATTTTTCACTTTTGCCTCCAAGTTAGATTTCTTTAAAAAAAAAAAGTTCTTCAACTCTCATCAAGTAAAGTTCATGTCCAGTCTAATATGAGCCATGTAATATGGCAAACCATTGGGAAGAGAAGGACCAAAGTTTGAGTCCAAAGTCTGGCATCACTCACTTTGCATAGATTTAGTCAACATTAAGTTGGAGAGGTCATTCAGAATTTTGAATGGGTAGGAGGAAACTGTTGGAACCAAAGCTGTATCCAAGATCTCCTGATTCATACCTGACACCATGATTTCAGCCACTAGCAGGTGTGGAGACTGTCATGTTATCTTCAAGCTCTCTGCTGCTGGCTAAGACGTCCAATGGTGTGACTCCATTACTCCGATTTGCTCCACTACCTATGGAAGGCCAATAGATACAGCTAATTTACCATCTGTGATTTAAGAAATGCTTGAGTTAATTTATATTCATGGCTGCTTGTTGGCTATGAGTTCAGACTCAGAGTAGGAGGATTCAGAGAAACTCGCAGGATCTAGCTTAGAAAACCTTCCCTGCCACACCACACCCTCTCAGCTTCCCTCCATGCGATTGAGGGTGGGGAGAGCCAGGAAGAAAGACAGGACTCTTAGGTACTGGCATAAATGGTAAAAGTAGAATACCAAAATCCTCATGCACAGAATCAGGTCATTCTCACTGTTTGCCATTATTGAGGACACACTGACCTCCCCAACCTGCCTTCATATATACACTTTCTCCTTCAGGCTGCTTTAGACATCTATTTTAACCTGACTTTGTCAGTATTTAGAAATGTGGAAGAGCATAAATAAACCATAACTTAACATAGGCATGGGACCTAAGCAACTCCCCAGAACACAGGAGAAATGAATCCCCTAAAATACTGTGTGTTCTCTAAGTGTGGTCCATGGATCCCTGGGGTCTCATTGCGTGCCACCTAGAAGGTCAAAACTTTTCATAAAAGGCAGATAACTCCGTTATTATTTTCACTGTGTTGACCAATGGGGCAAAAGCAATGACGGGTGAAAGTGTGCTGCCTTAGCGTGAATCAAGTCATGCTTCTAGTGGCATCTCTACTGCGGTCATGTTCTTCACTGCCACATACACACACATGCATGCATACACACACTCCAGTTTCACCTTTAAAAAACCATGATGGAGCAGTAAAATTATTAATTTTTAAAAATCTTGACTATGGACTACTTGCTGTTTAATATCCTGTATAACAAAATGGGAAGCACACATAAAAGACAGCACACACTGAACTCATGATGTCTATCTGTGAACTCAGATGTCTGAGCTAAAACTAGCCTCTTTTTCCACTGAACATGATTTTTACCTGAAAGAATGTTTGATAAACTGTGTCAGTAACACTTGAGGATTTGGCATTTTTTCAAAAATGAATGAAGCGATGCTGTCTCTTCAAGGAAAATTAGCTCACAGTGCTTGTTGTCAATAATAAGATTGGAGTTTTCAAGTGAAAAGTATAATTCTACAAAATTTTCCACAAAAAGTTTTTGACAAAATCCAGACACTCAAAAACTTTTCGGATGAGTTTGATGATAATAACTCTTGAACATTATTGTAGGTATATTAGTGTGGCATTCAGAAGATCTGCATAACTCAATCAATCAATATTTTTAAATGACCAAAACACAACAAAATCATGCATAGCAAAAGAATCATGCAAAATATAAAACAAGAATACTGAGTTTTACCCTAAAGACTCTATCAGAAAATTACTAGAGCTAATCAATGAATATAGTTAAGTTGCAGGATATAAAATTAACACACAGAAATCTCTTGCATTCCTATACACTAACAATGAGAAAACAGAAAGAGAAATTAAGAAAACAATACCATTCACCATTGCAACAAAAAGAATAAAATACTTAGGAGTATATCTACCTAAAGAAACAAAAGACTTATACATAGAAAACTATAAAACACTGATGAAAGAAATCAAAGAGGACACAAACAGATGGAGAAATATACCGTGTTCATGGATTGGAAGAATCAATATTGTCAAAATGGCTATACTACCCAAAGCAATCTATAGATTCAATGCAATCCCTATCAAACTACCAACGGTATTTTTCACAGAACTAGAACAAATAATTTCACAATTTGTATGGAAATACAAAAAACCTCGAATAGCCAAAGTAACCTTGAGAAAGAAGAATGGAACTGGAGGAATCAACCTGCCTGACTTCAGACTATACTACAAAGCCACAGTCATCAAGACAGTATGGTACTGGCACAAAGACAGAAATATAGATCAATGGAACAGAATAGAAAGCCCAGAGATAAATCCACGAACCTATGGTCACCTTATCTTCGACAAAGGAGGCAAGGATATACAATGGAAAAAAGACAACCTCTTTAACAAGTGGTGCTGGGAAAACTGGTCAACCACCTGTAAAAGAATGAAACTAGAACACTTTCTAACACCATACACAAAAATAAACTCAAAATGGATTAAAGATCTAAATGTAAGACCAGAAACTATAAAACTCCTAGAGGAGAACATAGGCAAAACACTCTCCGACATAAATCACAGCAGGATCCTCTATGACCCACATCCCAGAATTTCAGAAATAAAAGCAAAAATAAACAAATGGGACCTAATGAAACTTAAAAGCTTTTGCACAACAAAGGAAACTATAAGCAAGGTGAAAAGACAGCCCTCAGATTGGGAGAAAATAATAGCAAACGAAGCAACAGACAAAGGATTAATCTCAAAAATATACAAGCAACTCCTCCAGCTCAACTCCAGAAAAATAAATGACCCAATCAAAAAATGGGCCAAAGAACTAAACAGACATTTCTCCAAGGAAGACATACAGATGGCTAACAAACACATGAAAAGATGCTCAACATCACTCATTATCAGAGAAATGCAAATCAAAACCACAATGAGGTACCATTACACGCCAGTCAGGATGGCTGCTATCCAAAAGTCTACAAGCAATAAATGCTGGAGAGGGTGTGGAGAAAAGGGAACCCTCTTACACTGTTGGTGGGAATGCAAATTAGTACAGCCACTATGGAAAACAGTGTGGAGATTTCTTAAAAAGCTGGAAATAGAACTGCCATATGACCCAGCAATCCCACTTCTGGGCATACACACCGAGGAAACCAGATCTGAAAGAGACACGTGCACCCCAATGTTCATCGCAGCACTGTTTATAATAGCCAGGACATGGAAGCAACCTAGATGCCCATCAGCAGACGAATGGATGAGGAAGCTGTGGTACATATACACCATGGAATATTACTCAGCCATTAAAAAGAATTCATTTGAATCAGTTCTAATGAGATGGATGAAACTGGAGCCCATTATACAGAGTGAAGTAAGCCAGAAAGATAAAGACCATTACAGTATACTAACACATATATATGGAATTTAGAAAGATGGTAACAATAACCCTATATGCAAAACAGAAAAAGAGACACAGATGTATAGAACAGACTTTTGGACTCTGTGGGAGAAGGCGAGGGTGGGATGTTTCAAGAGAACAGCATCGAAACATGTATATTATCTACGGTGAAACAGATCACCAGCCCAGGTTGGATGCATGAGACAAGTGCTCGGACCTGGTGCACTGGGAAGACCCAGAGGGATCGGGCGGAGAGGGAGGTGGGAGGGGGGATCGGGATGGGGAATACATGTAAAACCATGGCTGATTCTTGTCAATGTATGACAAAAACCACTACAATATTGTAAAGTAATTAGCCTCCAACTAATAAAAAAAAAAAGAATACTGGGTTTTAATATAGCAGAGGACAAGAAGTTCACTGATAGGACTTCAGATTCAACATTGCAACAGGCTCTAAGAAACTACCATCTGTCTAGTTCTGAAATAATATCAAAAGAAGATACACCAAAAGGGCATCTGAAAAGGCTATTAAGCAATCTTTCCCTTTCCAGCTCCATGTCTGTCTGAGGCCAGATTTTCTTCATAGACTCCAACCAAAACAACACAGCAACAGCTTTAACAGAGAGGCAGATGGGAGAATCTGGCTGCCCTCTATTAAGCCAGACATTAAAAATATAAATGTAAAACAATGCCATGCTTCTCACTACATATTTTTGTTTTGAAAAATTGAGATTTCCTTTTCATAAAACATGTTCACATAAAATAGATTACTGTAACTTTAATAGATATTAGATTTGTAGTTTTAATTTCTAATGTCATAGATCTTAACAGATAAAACCCACACAAAAAAACCTTCAGTTTTTCAAACATTTTAAAAGCATAAAAAGGTCGTGAAATCAAAAAGATTGAGAATTGTTATCCTAAAGCAACAATTAATAGATCTGAAAATCCAAAATATCCAGTTCTGGTCCATGGATAAATTAATGTTTGCTGTCAATCTGTCATCTAACATATATCACACTTATTGGATAAATATGAATTTTATAAACATCTAAAATAAAATTTAGGTTCTCTCTTATTAGATGTCTGTCAAGAGATGAATCCAAATACATCTTACTTGTCTAGATGCACATTCAAGGGAAGTAAATTAGAACCTCTGGTTACATGTCATATCAGATCTATTCTTCCTTGAAGTCATGTTTAGTTTTTTAAAATGTGGATCACAAGCCTTGTCAGTCTGGATTGACAAGATATACTTGTTTGGTATCCTCAATTTATTTGTTATAAAGGACTTTTCTTTTCATATTAAGACAGTCATGTGGGGGGGAGTTGAATATGACTGCCTTTAAAATAGAGGCCATAAAATTTCTGGACAAAATGTCTTTGAACATTCCCTGAGTTGGTAAAATCCTGGCGTTTATTTCCAAGAGTAAGCTGTGTGTGCATACCTGATCAGTCGTGTCCAATTCTTTGTGACCCCATGGACTGTAGCCCACCAGGCTCCTCTGTCCTTGGGATTTCCCAGGCAAGAATATTAGAGTGGGGTGCCATTTCCTACTCCAGGGGATCTTGTAGACCCAGAGATCGAACCTGGGTCTCTTACATCATAAATGGGGGGCTGAAGCATTGGAAGACTTTGTATGTTATTTATGTTCATTAATTTTACAGTTGAAAGTGAAAGTTCAAATCACTCAGGTGTGTCCAACTCTTTGCGACCCCATGGACTATAGTCCACCAGGCTCCTCTGTCCATAGGATTCTCCAGGCAAGAAGACTGGAGTGGGTTGCCATGCCTTCCTCCTGGGGAATCTTCCAGACCCAGGGACTGAATCTGAGTCTCCTACAGTCTGAATCATCAGGGAAGGGAGGCCAGTTGAATTTAATTTGTAATGAGGAGCCCAAACTCATCAGAGAGAGAGGGGAAAAAAAAAAAAAAAGACAGTTGGCATCCCTAAAAGTAAGGGAGCTTTTAATAACACAAAATATTAAAAATGAGCACAAGCGCAGGAATCAATATAGAATAATATTCCCGAGCCAAAGTGAGATAATTCGGCTGCACAGTTTGCCACACTATCTGTCAACATCCATGGCCATAGAGAGCCAGACACGTTTTTCCACCTGGAGCTTTCACAAAACCTGCACGACACAGCCGTTGAGCAGTTCCAAACCTCTCTTTGCAAATATGCTCACAGCCTCCATTTTGATGGAAGCAGGGATCTGCTCCTAGCAGGGAGAAGACGTGCATTCACAGATGGGCTTGCAGATGAAAAGGTTGCCGCTGATGCAAACTGCAGCATACAGCTTGGGGGAGAGACACTGTATCTAAGTGGAGTTTATATCAAGAGCTATTTCAGGAGAGTTCCTATAAAGAGCCACTGGTTCTCAGATAAGCTCAGAAAGTTATTACCTTATGAGTATTTATTGAATTTAGCCAGTACTTTTGTTCGAGAAGCTATTTGGGAAGATAGGAATCCTATTTCCTGACTCATCATCCAGTCAAACTGATAAAGGGTGATTCAGAAAGAAGAGTTACAATGGAAACTAAGTGGCCTTTCCATTTTGCTTTACCTACTGCTGGCTGAAGCTTACTCCCTGGCATTCTCAGCAGGTGGGGAGAGGCCCAATGTAGGTAGAAGCTTCCACTGCCGGTTTCTAAACTGCTCCCCCACCATCGCTGCTCCTGGACTTTGCGCCTTTAACCTGAGTCTTTGAAAAGGAGCAAGTAAGTAAACACTAATTAGAAGAAAAGATGAGCTTGAAGGAATAAAGCCCAAATTCATTACTAGACTGTCTTAGTTTAAACAAAATTCAAGTCTCAGGAAATCTTAACATCTACCCAAATCAGTGAGAATTGCCACACCCCACTCCCTGCCCTGCCATCAAGCAATTTAAACAGTTGCAGGTGCCAAAGAAAGACCAGTGTACCTGGTTTTGCCAGTGGATGAACTACAACCAGAGATGAGGGCTTCAGCATGCTGCCTTGGCGATATACACTATTTTTGCCAGTCCTCTTGTTCATCCTTGTTATCGATGGCATAGTCCAATCAGAGAACGACACGTGATTCTCAAACACAGACACAGCAAATGGGTGACCTGGGAGCAGTCAAATCCATCACAGACATCTTGTTTTTATCGTAAGTATTTTTCAAAGGACAAAGAATACCCAATTTCTACACTAAATCAATTCTTTAATAAGCTACTAAGCAATATAATGAGCCACCTACATCAAGGAGAACCCACGCGATGAGGAAATCTGTTAGAAGGGGAGCCTGGTGGTATGAAGTCCTAGCAAAGCCTCTTGTCACTCAGCATTCAGAAAGTGAGAGAATGTGGGTGATTGACATAAAACCACCCAGGAGACCCGGGCAGGAATATTTCCATGTTCAGTGATTCTATCACTATTTTTAGACTAAACAACTTGACTGTGTAAGTTATTTTCCTCCTCTTAGTCATAGGTTCCTTGTCTTTTTTTTTTCCAGAATTTTTTTTACCTGATTTACATAATGATCAGTAGTGATTTAGAACTGGCACTCCTTTTAATAAAGAAGAAGTTGCTCTTGGGACTATATATCTGCCTACCCTGTGAAAATACATTCTTCTTAAGCTAAGTTAGTACCAATTGGAAGCCAACTTTCCCTTTGCAATATTGTGAGAAGTATTTTGACTCTTAACTGGAGCTGAAATGGGAAGATATGGTTTACAAAAAGTAATATAAAGTAATAAGGCATTTTTATTTTCTTTTTTAAAAAAATTTTTAGGTTCCTTGTCTTTTGAATGGCAATAATAAGTAGTAGACTAAATTCACAGGTTTTTGTAAAAGTTTTTAAAAATCTAAGGTAACTGAATAACAGTCTCCTCAAATTCCCATCTCCAGCACATTTCCAGGCATTAAACCCCTACCTCCTTCCTACTCTAGGACCTTGTTCTGTCAATTATCCCTTTCATTTATTCACTCTCTTCATCTCTCCAGCTTCTTTCGTTTAGCTGATTAATATCTCCAGGTCTCTTCTATCTTAATTCCCTCATCCCCGTGACGTCTCTTCTTTTCGTCTCTCTCCTACCCTTTGCAGCCAAGTTCTTTGGAAGTCATTTATTATCTGCTGCTTCCATATTCATGGCTCTAATCAACCCGCAAGCGGACTCTTCCCATCTTACCTCAACTAAACCCACCTCTCCATGCCACTGAAACTGCTCTGATAAAATATTCCAGTGTTTAGTAAGCTGGGAGATGTTTTAATATACTATCTCGGGTGGTTAGAGGCCTGAGGACCCCTCAGGGGTTAGGCTAAGGACCCCTAAGTTTGGAAGCTTTTTATCACTGCACATATAGTCACATTTCCCAAGCCAGTCATTTCTGCAAATGAGCAATGGATTTGGTGGACTAGGATGAATGTCTCCCTCTAGTGGCAGCAAACTCAAATGCTTTGTCCCGGTGAAATGAGTCTCCGCCCATCATTATTGATGGGGGCCCTTAAGATTCATTCTGGTATCTAGCCTTTGCTCCAAATTAAAGCCATTAATGCAGGAAGGGAACTTTTTACATAACTTTTGTTTTGTTTTGCTTACTGAGATAAAAAAAATACCTAACACAAAATTTACCCTCTAAGCCTAAGACTAAACCCACAGTTTCTGTAGGGTAAAACACATTCACATTGCTGAACAACCAATTTCTAGAATTTGCTTTTATCTTGTAAAACTGAAGATCTATACTCATTAGACAACTTCTCAGTCCCTGCCCGGCCAGTCCTTTGCAAACCCTATGTTACTTTCTGTTTCTGTAAGTGTGACTATCCTATTCAATAAATTCCTTGCTGCTGCTGCTGCTAAGTCGCTTCACTTGTGTCCGACTCTGTGCGACCCCATAGACGGCAGCCCACCAGGCTCCCCCATCCCTGGGATTCTCCAGGCAAGAACACTGGAGTGGGGTGCCATTTCCTTCTCCAATGTGTGAAAGTGAAAAGGGAAAGTGAAGTCGCTCAGTCGTGTCCGACTCTTCAGGACCCCATGGACTGCAGCCCACCAGGCTCCTCCGTCCATGGGATTTTCCAGACAAGAGCACTGGAGTGGGTTGTCAGTGCCTTCTCCAAATAAATACCTTAAGTTAAGTCAAATCATACAATATTTGTCTTTTGTCTGGCTTATTTCATTTAGCCAAATGTCCTCAAGGAAATGGCAACCCACTCCAGCCTTCTTGCCTGGAAAATCCCATGGGCAGAGGAGCCTGGCAGGCTATGGTCCATGGGGTTGCAAGAGTTGGACACGACTTAGCAAATAAACAACCTCAAGGTTTATCTATGTTGTAGTATGTGTCAGAATTAGCTATAGTTTTTTCATCACAAACCCCAAACTAGATATAATCGTCCTTATTTATTGTCTACAGGAGAGCCACAATTGTGTGTTAAATTAAGAATGAATTCCTTCAGTCTTTAAATGAAAAGCCCTGAATTGGTCGTTGAGATGCTACCATTTTTTTTTACCGGCAGGTGGCACTATAATGATGAGAATGGTTATTTAGATATTTTCATACCAAATTATTTGTATTTGTGAATGTATTTAATAGGAAGTTGCATTGGTCATAGATTAGAACCATGCAAATTATTTATAAAATATCTGCTATACTTTTTGGCTTAGAACATGGTGTCTTTACATTCTAGTTAGGAATTTTCAAATCCCTTTATACATCAAAGCTATAGTTTTACATTTATTTGGGAGATTCATTTTTTTAACAATGTGTGTCTCCTTACTAGAATTGGTGACTTCACAGGAACCATATTGTACCCTCCACTGTATCTCTACTTCCTACAAGCTTCTATAAATATCTGTTGGGTGCATGGATAATGAAGCCTATGACTACATACATGTGAAGTATGTCCATTTTTAAGAAGCTTGGAAGTAGGTAGAATTTTAAGTTATATTTATCTTGATCTGTTTAATGTATAATACAAATCTAGAAATTCATTATCAAAGGGCAAAATTAAAACCTTATACAAATTATTAGTTTTGTTAGCTTTTTCCTAGAAGAGTGAGACCATGTTTTCTCACCTTCTCAACCAACCAATTTCTAAATTCCTGAAGCATCTTTAACATCTCCCTGGCCTTTATTCTGACATCCAATCTGTTACTAAATCTATTTTTCATTCACAGTGTTGTTTTTTTTTAATACTCTAATCCTCCATTCTATTTTTAAATGGCAATGTTCTAGTTCAGGCTTCTATTAACTGTTGACTGAACAACTGTTGTAACTTCCTAACTCACTCCTTTCTCTCCAAATTCCAATCCAACCCTTGTACTGTTACCTAAGTGGCTATCTTGATATACAAATTTTATCAGATACAGTTCCTGTTCAAGAATTATGCAAAGGCTCTCCAGTACATTCCGAATGAATTTCAGTTAATGTATTCTGGTAGGACTAACATACAAAGACCAAATTTTGCAGCCTTATTTCAAATGATAATGTTTTATCAGCATTTATTTACCGCATGGTCCAGTTCAAATACTGTCAAAATGAATCCCCCACCATTACATCATCTCATAACCATCTGTACTTGTAACAGACAGTATAATCTACAGTGTTTCAAAAATACATGACACCCTATGCAAAAGCTGAAAATATAATAGAAGGGAAAATTTATTAATCTTTGCACAGAATGGCTAAAGGGAATGTTATCACTTGTGAAAATGACATTTTATAAAACATAGGAAATGATAACAACTGAAGAAGTTCTTTAAAAAGTTTTAAAGTGTTTAATATTTTCATTCTGCTTTTAAGAAATCTTGGCAAAGAGAAATGATAATGCAGCACTGTTTTTTTAATCTAATATTCCAATGTTAAAATAATCTTCATAGTTTATAAGCCCCTGGAGAAACCTGTTAGCCTGTTTGTTTCTATTCCTTTCTCACCATGTGTTTAAAGGTACGTGTGTGGGAATGGGGGTGGTGAGTGTATGTGAGTGTGTGTGTGGGTGTTAACACTCATCAACAATCAAGTTAAAGAAATCACCCATTTCAAAGCCTTACCAGGGCTTCCTTGGTGGCTCAGTGGTAAAGAATCCACCTGTAATGCAGAAGTCACAGGAAACACAGGTTCAATCTGGGTCAGAAAAATCCCCTGGAGGAGGGCATGGGAACCCACTCCAGTATTCTTGCCTGGAGAATCCCATGAACAGAGGAGCCTGGAGGGTTACAGTCCATGGGGATGCAGAGTCAGATACAACTGAAGTGACTTAGCATGCATGCATGCATACTGGCAAAAATATAATCAAAGCCTTATGTACATCCTTCTGGGCAAGTCTTTGACATTTTGAAACATCCAGATTGGACATTTCTATCACAGACTGCTTGGCATCACACCAATACAACTTGTCAGTTAAGTAATCAATTGCTATTCCACTGGGCCACACCAGATTCAAGCTAGCTATAATCAGTCGGATACTGCCTTGAAGAGAAGAACTTTCAATTCATGGATTAATTCCCATATCAGTCCAGAATAATCTCCTTTAATCAAGAAAACATATAACAAGTACAATTTGCAAGGAAAAAAAATTCTTTTACTCTTTTATTATTAAAAACATCAATGTAAATCGCTTTAGGATAAACTAAAGTGGTACACTAAGGAATACAGAAAACATAGCACTGTATGCTGGACAAATAATTTTCAAAATCAAAAATTATCTTCTCTATGTACAACAAATCGGACAGAAAATGCTGAATTTAAGCTCTGATCATTAGATAAAGAGGAATTATTAGGTTTTTAAAATGTAGTATATTATACATTACAAATATACAAATATATCAAAAGTTTTTGAGTGCATATTCTTATTAGTATTTTACACTGCAAAAGACAATGGAATCTTGCTAGTCTGTCCCTTGGCTATACATATGTAAAATTCACTGGTTATGCAAAGTTACAACATAAAGGGAAGTGCATATTTATCTATTATCCAGTTTTATATGATAGACTTGGTTAACTTGGTCAGTTTTAAGTTCTGTAAGTCAGGTGCTGAGAGTTTTTTGAGTTCAATATCTTTTCATTGTTCTAGTCACATGGCTAGCTCCAAATTAATGATATATTTTCCATCAGTTTATTATTTCCCATAGACCATCATAACATTCTCATTGTAGATAAAATAGTGTTGGTTTTTATCTTCAGTTTTTAACTACGAAGGATTGTTTATTCTGTCAATTCTCTAAACATAAACCAAGATTTGTCACCAATTCACAATTAACAACTAGAGCCTTCTAATCTCTCACAATTTCTCTTTCCTCTTCTCTAAATCTAGGTTTGACCTATCACTGCAACTCATGATTTTTCTAAAGAGAATTCATAAGCCATGCAATCCAAATACCACCCTCTCAGGGAACAGTATAGTTTTTAAAGAATGCACAGTGTAGTGGGCTTATGCCACATTGATCAATGAATCACAACCCATTTCTTTTCAAAAAGAAATTGAATTTGCTTAAAATGAAGGGTTTTCTAAACAATAAAATTTTATACAAGTAAATCAAAAGACATTAAAAGGAGGGGGAAGTCATGCTAGCCATATAATTTCCAAACATTTGAACAAATCTCATGGGTTTTCCTGGTTTCTGATTCTACTGATTACCTGAGATCTTAAGACAAATTTTGGACACTACCACATCAAACATGAAGTGTTCTATGATCTCTGCAAAAAGGGTCCGATTTTCACAATTACTTACTTGGCCTTTGGATGAACAGCAATTCCTCGTGGCTGAGAGACATGTCCTCCTTCATGATTATTTCACGATACTTTCCATTTCAATCACTCCCTTCAATGAGAGATTTCCTAAAATGCATGTAGTATAAAGGGACTTGTTACACCAACTTTACTTTTTAAACGAAAATACTGACTTTCTCTGTTGCTTATTGAAGAGCAAAATAGGCATTCTAAACCACCCTGTCACACGTGCACAGGCACATACACATCTTCACACACGTCAGGAGCAACACGCTCATAGTCTGTTTTGTTTTTTTTTTATTTTTTTATTTTTTTTTGTTTTTTTTTTAAACACAATGTTTTAATTAGTTTCTCAACATTTAACCCAAGTAATTAAAATGCGCAGTGAAAGGTAAGGTAAGAGGGGCTATGTCAGTGGCCCGACAGGGTTAAAGCCAGGATGTGTAAATAAATACCACCATTCCTTTCTCTTCACACTTCCCAGCTCCTGCTGACACCAGTAAGGGCCAGAGGAACCACCAGCCTCTGGCCACAGGTCACAGGGAGCAGGACAGCAGACCTCTCAGGGCCACAGAGTCAGCCAACACAGAACGGGAAGGGGAGCGGTATATTGACTTTAATTTTCTTCCGTGTCATTCTAAGACAAATGGGAGAATCGATATATTATTTGCTACCCTTCACATTAAAAAATGATAACAACTCTTTGGAATCTGGCTGGGGAGAAAACTGTCATTTTCTAAGTTTTTCCATTTGCCAAACAAGTCTTTATTATCATATAAATATTTACGAAGCACCTAATGTGTGTCAGGGAGACACAGTAATATACAAACCCCAGCTCTGTCCTTAAAGAGCTTAAAGATCCACAGAAGAGTGAGGGGGGGGGAGAGGGCCAGGAGGGAGGGCAGGAGAGAGGAGAAAGAGAGGAAGAGGGAATCATATACGGAATGTGTAAGAATGCAACTGACACAGAGGGAAGTAAGTCAGAAAGAGAAAAACAAATATACACTGCTTAGTCGCTCAGTTGTGTCTGACTCTTTGCGACCCCATGGACTGCAGCACTCCAGGCTCCTCTGCTCATGGGGATTCTCCAGGCAAGAATACTGGAGTGGGTTGCCATTCCCTTCTTCAGGGGATCTTTCCAACCCAGGGATCAAACCCAAGTCTCCCGCACTGCAGGCAGATTCTTTACCATCTGAGCCAGCAAGGAAGCCCAAATATTGTATATTAATGCATATATATGGAAACTAGAAAGATGGTACTGATGAATCTGTATGCAGGGAAAGAACAGAGACCCAGACATAGAGAACAGGCTTGTGGACAAAGAGGGGGCAGGAGAGGGCGGATCACATCAAGACAGTGACTTTGCCACGAATACATGCAATTCAGTTCAGTTCAGTCACTCGGGCATGTCTGACTCTCTGTGACCCCATGGACTGCAGCACGCCAGGCCTCCCTGTCCATCACCAACTCCCAGAGTCCACCCAAACCCATGTCCATTGAGTCGGTGATGCCATCCAACCATCTCATCCTCTGTCATCCCCTTCTCCTCCTGCCCTCAATCTTTCCCAGCATCAGGGTCTTTTCCAATGAGTCAGCTCTTCGCATCAGGTGGCCAAAGTATTGGAGTTTCAGCTTCAACATCGTTAACATGTGTAAAATAGACAGCTAGTGGGATGTCTCTATATAGCAGAGGGAGCTCTGCCTGGTGCCCTGTGACAACCTAGAAGGGTGGGGTGGGGTGGGCGGTGGGAGGGAGTCTCAAGAGGGAGGGGACATGTGTACATGTATGGCTGATTCATGCTGCTTTGTGGCAGAAACCAATGCAACATTGTAAAGCAATTATTCTACAACTAAAAATAAAACAAGCAAACAAAAAAGAATGCAACTGGCAGATTCAGGGCCATGGCTTGGAGTGCACCATGAGCCCCAGCAGCTCCCCGGAACAGGCAGGATCACAAACAGAGAGGATAAAAAAGAACCTCCTTTCCCTTCAATGTGAGGCCTGCTTGCCCAGTTTCCCCACTGCAACCTAGAAAGTACAGCTGTATTTCATTCAGTAAACATCTGGAAAGGCCTAGCCCTTGTTCTTCCAGGCAGTGTGCGCACAACAGACCTGCCCAGAAATACAGGGCAGGACCATTCCCTCCTCCCTGTCCTACAGAACAAACACTAACGAGGTCTTCTCTAGGTGGCTAGCTCAAGTGCCCTTTCTAGACAGGGGAAAGGGGCTTGATTTCTTCTTCCTCACATGCCATATGCAGGAGGGAGACAACGTAACACTGGCTCAGGGCCTGGGCTGGGGCAAGCACACTTTGCAAACTACCGACTTGGGGCAGTGGATAATTGGAAATTATTTGCACTGCAGTGCCACTTTATTCCTAGATGAAGGGGTTGTAGAAAGGGTACTGCTAGGCAGAAGGCATTTTTGAACTCAATGTGTCAACTTCAGTCAGTCACAGCTGTCACTGGGCTTGTGCCCTTGGTAGGAGGCAAGGAATTCTGAAGCCACTTGCTTGTGACCAGAGGAGATACAACTGTCAGTTCTGATCTCGTTGTTATATCATCTCTAAATTCTCACTGTTTTGAGCGGGAGTGAGGGGATGAGAGTTGATACAGATGTAAGCTCCTGACTCTGGAGCTGTCTCAGGCAGGGCAGCTGGCATTTGCTCTCAGAGCTCCCCAAGGGGGTCACCCAAAACACACTTCTGCTTGATTCAGCCAGAAAGCACGTCTTGAACGCCAGTGTGGGTCATGAGAAAGCAAAGACAAGGACGAATATTTAGGTTCACATGAGTTCAAGCATAACCCTCAATCGTGTGGAACATCTTTCTTTTTAGGGTCATTATCTAATTGGTCTCAATGCCACCACTGGGATCCGCTAAACCAAAGGTCGCTAACCTTTAGGATCTACTGCCTGATGATCTGGGGCAGAGCTGATCTAATAGTAACAGAAATAAAGTGCACAATAAATACAATGTACTTGAATCATTCCAAAAGCATCCTCCCACCCCTGGTCCATGGAAAAACTGTCTTCCACGAAACTGGTCCTTGGTACCAAAAAGGTTGGGGACACTGACCTAAATTCACCCTGTTTCCAGGGCAAAAGCTGTCTATCCAGAACTCTAGAAGAGTGATTTTCTTACCTTATAGTGGTTTTCCTCACCTCAAAGGGATGAGCAAATGGATACTTTGTTTTCTTCCTGATTCTTTTTACTAAGGATCTGACTTTAGGAGTCGGGACCCCTTATCACTAAATAATAATGTTGCCAGGGGAATTGCCAACTTCCTTCCTTCCTACAGTTAGATGTTAGTATGAATCTGTCTTCTCCTAAGCCAATATAAACCATAAGCATCCATTCTGCTTTTTTTTTTTTTACTTGGTTAAGAGTTACTATATAATCTAATATCACAAGCCAGGAATCCCAGTTATTTAAATCAAATTTCTAGCTAATATCAAGGTTTTCAAACTATAAACCTCTCATTTCCAGACAAATTAAAGGTTTTCTCTTAGCAGCTGCCTTTAGAGGGAAGAGGACTTGAGAAGGGCTTGTTATTACTCAAGTCAATGAACTAGGGAATTTGAGGTCTGACACTCCAGGATAGGGTGGTGCTTGTCTATCTCCTGGAGGCACCGCCTTGGCAGTGGGTACCACACCACTATTAACCAAACGCGTAAAATTAGAGGTGCCATGCGAATGTGAGAAATGTGAGGAGACCCAGCATCCTTGGAGAGTCCAAAAGTGGCTGACATCTGCTGTCCTGATCAGCGTTTCTGAGAACAGCAGTGTACAAGCTCTATCATTATGCACAGGTAACATTTTAAATGTCCTTTTAAGTAGGTTCAAAACAGAGAAGACCATTATTATGATTTTTATCACTATTACAACTGAAGTTGATTTTCACTTGTTATATGACTCTGGGTGAGCACATTTAATCAACCCTGGTTGTTGGAGGCAGCACATACCTATGATTATTAAAAACATAAGTTTTGGAAACGGTCGCCCTTGAGTTCAAATTCCAGATCCAATATTTGCTGGCTGCTTGACCTTGGGAAAGTTGTTTTACCTCTTTGATTCTCGTTTTTTGTTTTTTTTTTTTAATTTTTAAGCTGTGGATATGAAAATTTACCTTTTGGGGTGTCAGTATGGATACAAAGCTCTTAGTGCAGTATCTGGTGTATTTCAGTTATTCAATAAATGAATAAATACAAAAGGAATAAAGAAATGGGATGAAGATATGGCTAAATGAATAAGCAAATAAATGAACGAATGACTTAATTAAAATATACTTGGTCTGGACAGAGAAATACTGTATTATTCATAACTGAGCACCACATCATACATCTGGCTCATTTTTAAAAGCCCGTTTGTTTCCCATGGGTTATCCAGGCCAAAAGAGGTTTTCTGGGACATAGAAGCCTGCCCTGAAGCATTTAAACCCACTCCCTGGGACTTCTTCCTTTGCGTTGGGACCCCTGATTTCAGAGGTGAAATCCCAGCTCACTCTCTCTTTTACTTTAACGTGGTTGCAGAGGTGCCAGAGGTTTGAGCTGGCCACCAGGTCGCTCCACAGCTTTAAGATCCTCTGAGACAGTGTTCCAGAGCCCAGAGTCTCTAAGCCTCTCCCGGGAGGTACTGTGATTGGCTGTTTCTCACTCAGAAGCAGGAGGTGGGCTCTCATTAGCAAACACAAGACGCAGCCACCTCTTTCCTCTCCCTCTTCCCCACCCCAACTGTTCCTGGGGCTCACACAGGACACACGCGCACACACACACACTGACACACACACTCACACACACTGACACACAGGACACACACACACACACACATACACACACAGGACACACACACAGGACACACACACATACACACACATACAGACACACACAGGACACACACACACTCACACACATACACACAGAGGACACACACACACACTCACACACACACATACACACACACAGGACACACACACACTCACACACACATGGACACACACACATACACACACACACACAGGACACACACATACACACACACATACACACACAGGACACACGCACACACACACACACTGACACACACACTGACACACATACACACACTGACACACACACAGGACACACACACACACACACAGGACACACACACACACATACACACACATGGACACACACACATACAGACACACACAGGACACACACACACACATACACACACGCTCACACACACATGGACACACACACACATACACACACACTCACACACACATGGACACACACACACACATACATACAGACACACACAGGACACACACACACTCACACACACAGGACACACACACACATACACACACACTCACACACACATGGACACACACACATACACATACATACAGACACACACAGGACACACACACACTCACACACACAGGACACACACACACATACACACACACTCACACACACATGGACACACACACATACACATACATACAGACACACACAGGACACACACACACACTCACACACACAGGACACACACACACACACACTCAAGTGCAGCAGTGCTTCCTGCTGCGCCAAGAGCAGTGTGCCCAGAGGGCAGACACACCACAGCTTCTCTCTGGTCCTGCTGTCTCCCTGCAAAGAGAAAACACACCATCTCTCCCCCCTGAAGAGGACTTTCCTCACAACCCCAGCGTGAAGCACTTGCTCCCTCCTTCACGCTCATTTAAAAGAGCCAACATGTGGGTTCCAGCAAGACTTGTCATTTGAATGTTGTACAACTTTGAATAAATCACTTAGCCCTTATGAGCTTTAGTTTCCATCCCCTCCCAACCTGTAAAATGAAGGGGAAGTTGATGGCTGAAGCCCCTTCCAGAGCCCCCTCTGGGAGCACCCACCTTCATTTGGCAATTATTTATGCATGGCCTTACGCCCTTTTTTGTACTGAGATTCAGACCAAGTGTTTGCATGAGTTTCCCTGTGTATATGCACTTTGTCTCCCTGGCTACACTACGCTGACCAGAAACACGGAGCTCCCCATGCTCCTGGGTATTTTCCATGCCACCTGGGTAACAGCTGACCCACAGCAGAGCCTCAGAAAAAGTGTGCGGGTTGTATCCAGACAGGCTTTGCGTTTCTGATGTCAACAGCCTGAACTGCAAAAACACACGCTGCTTTCTTGGTCCTCTATTCACCCTTAATGAAAGATACAATCTTGATGAAAGGAGGAAGGTCCTGCTTGGTGGTGGGGAGGTGGGAGGGACTGTGGACAGCACTGGGGGCATCTTCCTCTGATGCCAGTCAGGGGACCAGCAATATCTCCCTGTTTTCCAAGTGAAGGATGAGGCCAACTGTATTACATGTCCCACCACTCCCATCCCATGTGACTTAACGAAAGAGGACACACACCCTCTGTCTGTCCAGTTGAGTTTACAAGCCAATCCAGTCAACAGCAAGACCTTCTGGTAAACCTACTTCTTCCTCAAGAAGTCTTTCTCGCTGGGAACCATCCATTTTAGCTCTTTCTATCCACTTCAGGACTGTATGGGCAAAGTATATCTACAGAAAAGAACACAGGCATATAGTCTGATTTGTTTAAAAACTAAATGTGGAATATATACAAACAGGATTAGTAAATCTTTGTATCATACAGTATAATCATTCAGAGCTTGGCTTTGGAGACAGACGCACCTGGAACTGAACTCTCTCTCTGCCGCTTCCCAGATGTGTATAAACTTAAGCAAATTACTCAATGTCTCAGAAGCTTAGCTTCCTTATTGGCAAAATGGAAATAATGCTATCAAGTGCATTAATTATACACACACACACACACACACACACACATATCCTTAGCCTTGTGCCTGGCACATATTTCTATTGCAGGCAATTTGCTCATCTCTGATCACTGGTCGATAACAAAGCCATCATATTTAAACTCTAATGGCTTCAACAGCCTGAAAGGGAACAAAGATGAGCAGTTTAATGGGGGCTGTAAGCTGGGCTTTATCTTCCACTGCTTCATCCACAGGACTCCACTTCACTGCAAGTCAGGGCACACAGCTTCATCTCCCTGCTTGGCATTTATTTGTTGCATCACCTTGGTTAAATCATTTTACTTATTTATATATTTTTTAAATTGAAGTATAGCTGATGTATGATATTATATGTTGCAGCTATATAATATAGTGATTCACCATTTTTAAAGTTTATGTTCCACTTATAGTTATTATAAAATATTGGCTATATCCCCTATGTTGTACAGTATATTCTGTAGCTTATTTTACATGCTACATAATAGTTTAAACCTCTTAATCCCCTTCCCCTATATTGCCCGTCCCTGCTTCCCTCTCCCTAGTGATAATCACTAGTTTGTTGTTTTATATCTGTGAGCTTGCTTCTTCTTTGTTATTTTCACTAGTTTGTTGTATTTTTTTAGATTCCACATATAAGTTATATCATATAGTATTTTTCTTCCTCTGTCTGGCTTATTTTACTTAGCATCATACCCTCCATATCCATCCATGTTGCTGCAAATGGCAAATTTTCATTTTTATGGCTTATTAGTATTACATTGTTTTATTTATTTATACCACATCTTTATTCATTCATCTGTTGGTGGATACTTATTTGCTTCCATATCTTGGCAATTGTAAATAATGCTGCAATGAATATTGGGGTGCATATATCTTTTTGAATCAGTGTTTTTGTTTTTTTCTGATATATACCCAGGAGTGGAATTGCTGGGTTATATTGCTGGGTTTATTTTTAGTTTATTGAGAACTCTCCATACTGTTTTCCACAGTGGTTGTACCAACTTACATCCCCAATAAGAGTGTGCATGGTTCATTTAAGTCATTTAATCTCAATTTTCTCAACTATGAAAATGACAAAATCAGACAAGATATTTGCTAAAGTTCCTTTCATCTCTAACAATATATAATTTCATTTTAAATAATCAATTTCATTCAACAGAACATACCCTGCAAGTACAAAGTTCCTTTTCAGTTTAGTATGCAGACTATCAAACAGGTACGAGAATAAAAAATTGCTATGAGTGACTGACAATTTAATGATAGCATATGTAGAATATTAACTGTGAGTACATATATGTACATAAACTCATCATCAATAATGAGAATATTCATAAAATAATTAAATAATGAGCTATCATCTTTCTGGATAAAATAGAAAATGTTCTATTCCACATTTCAAAAATGGGTACTTCTTATATTAAAAAATAATTCTAGTGCTCTAATTCACCAGCTTAAGTGTGTACATGTATCATCTGGGGAATCTTGTTAAAAAAATTATCTAGGGTGAAACGGATAACCAGCTCAGGTTGGGTACATGAGACAAGTGCTCGGGCCTGGTGCACTGGGAAGACCCAGAGGGATCGGGTGGAGAGGGAGGTGGGAGGGGGGACTGGGATGGGGAGTGCATGTAAATCCATGGCCAATTCGTATCAATGTATGGCAAAAACTACTGTAATGATGTAAAGTAATTGGCCTCCAACTAATAAAAATTAAAAAAAAAAAAAAAAATGCAGATTCTGATTCAGTGGTCAGGGGTGGAGCCTGAGAATCTGCAGTTCTAAAAAGCTCCAGGTCATGTTAAGGTCACTGGTCCAAGGACCACAGTTTGAGATGCAAGAAGATGGGACCATTGACCAAAGAAATGAAAAAACATGTATAAGTCATATGATTTAGAGATCATTTTAGGTTTTCTTGTTCACCTCATTGTAAAAATTACTGATTGTGTGGAAAAAAAATAATTTGGTAATAAGCGAATCTTGAACTGATTCTATGAATTTTTTTCCTGTTAATATAATTCTTCTATGGAGTTACATAGATTCAGTTCATAGAAAAGAAATAATTATTTGCTAGTGTTAAATCACAATACTTCTATTTGCAAAAATAGTTATATTTGGCTACCAACCCATATCGATTAAACACAGAATCAATTTATTTCACTCTGTCTCTTTAGGCCATTTACTAGAATGCTTCAAATCAGAAAAAAACAGAAGCACGAAGTTTAACAATTCTAGGAACAAAAGACCATCTAGTAATAACTAAATCATTATGGAGGGAGGTTAATAACTGTATAACTTCATCATTATTGGGTGATTAACTTTCAAAAAAACACTATAACATGTCGTTTCAAGCACATTCTAATCTAGCACAAAGATAACTAAGAAATTAAAGGCCAAACAGCAGATTGGGTTGATAATTAGAAATTCTAATGTTTATACAAAAACATTTCATGTAAAATTATGTAAATAACATCCTAGATTGCCATTCACACATGGACTATAGGACTTACGTTTTTGATTTTCATAATCAGGAGGTCACCAAATTCCTTCCCTGATGTGTGTTAGTGACTCAATCATATCTGACTCTTTGTGACCCCATGGACTGTAGCCTGCCAGGCTCCTCTGTCCATGGAATTCTCCAGGCAAGAATACTGGAGTGGGTAGCCATTCCCTTCTACAGTGGATCTTCCCAACCCAGGGATAGAACCTGGACCTCCTGCATTGAAGGCAGATTCTTTGCCATCTGAGCCGCCAGGAAAGCCCTCCTTCCCTTAAGGCCATGTACTAAATGCAAATTAGTAATCCATACTTACTATGCTGTATCCCAGCCTCCTACTTCTCCCAAAACATAAATAAATCAAAACCTATTTATGGCACTCCTCTGGTGTGTACGGTACTGTGCTAGCTTCCCATTCTCACCTCCAAAGAGGAAGCTAAACCTCAGATTCTGTTTAAATCATCCCCAAAGCTGAATCATAGTAAGGACCAGGGTTGGTTGCTTGTTTAGTTGCCAAGTCATGTCTGACTCTTGCGACCCCATGGACTATAGCCTGCCAGGCTCCTGTGCCCATGGGATTCTCCAGGCAAGAATACTGGACTGGGTTCCTTCTCCTGGGCAGATTCCCAACCCAGGAATCAAACCTGGGTCTCCTGCATTGCAGGGAGATCCTTTACCAACTGAGCTACACAGTTTATGGTAACAGAATCACCCTTCAAATTTTCTCAAGTGATTTTCAATGACCATTTAAATTTTTCTTTGCCTAATCATTCCAAGCTTTGTAGCAGATTTTCAAGTAGCCCAAGTAATCTTTTATGATAAAAATCCTCTATTCTGTCCTTAAAACACAGCCACATCTGTTCAAGTAGCAAAATCATACCTTATTTTCCACAGGGTCATGATCAAGGGCAAAAACCATTCCTATTTGTTGGTGGAGCAGGGTTCCATAATCTGTTCCATCAAAATGCATGTATCTAATATCTTGAGAATTGGCAAACAGCAAAAACGGCGGTGGTCCTAATAACCAAATTTGAATATGGCAACATTTAAAATAAGCCTTGGAACCCACAAGGCACTTCGGACTCCTCCCATTTATTGCGCCTCTTCCTTAACTCCTGAAGTACTTGTTTTCTTCATTTCCCACCAGCATTGAGGTACCTTAAGGCAGGCAAAAAGACTGCCTTTTCCATGAGTTGACATATGGTCAGAATTTTATCACTGGATTCCTCCCTGCCTATGTGTCTGCTTTTCAAATGCAAATTACTTCTAGAAAGACACAGACACAGTATTAAGTAACAAATATCTCAGCTAAATGATTAAAGTCTTATGCTATAATCTCCTTGATTCACACATATTGAAACATTAATATTATCAGATTATATTGATTCATGTCCAAATAAATTCCCTTCTCTAGACTGGACACTTTAAATGGAGGTAACACTGTGTGAGTTAATAACAAGACCCTTCATAATTTCAGAGCTCAGATTACACTATATTAACTGAGAAGTTAAGACTATTGGAGTCTGAGTAAGGCAAACTCTGCAGGTTCATCATTTACGTTACCCCAGATTACAGGCATAATGAACCTCAGGAGAGATTATGTCAATTTGGGATAAATCCAGGATTTCCAAGGCTATTGAAGGACATGAGGGGTGTAATATTAGAAGATGAAAAAATAGCTGGACCACACAACTTCATATTTAATTTTGTCATGGAAAGGACAGAATTTGTCAAAGTATTATGATTATTACATTTACTGGAGAGATGAAAATCAAATCAATCAACAAATATTTATTAAATGCCTCTTAACTATAAAGCATTTTAAGACTGTTCTTATTCTGGTTATGACTTTCATATATACTGGAATGCCATACTTGATGTTACAGCAAACCTTTGCTTAATGTTAATTAACTTCAAAATGTTTCTCAAACACATAATTATTATTTATGCAATAATAACTTGTTATTTATACTTATGTGATCTGTTTTCAATTTCCAAAAATAAAAAAAAAAAGCAGAAGCCAAGAGCAATTTAACACTTTCTAAACTAAATGGCGTCTTTCACATAAGCTTCTCGCAGAGACACACTTTTGAATGTTCACAGCACTAACCTGAAGGTCTACAGCTCTTTTTGTCCAGCTGTAGGTCATACCCAGGAAGGCAGCCACATTTCCAGGATACTGGGCTGAGAGGGGTGCAGAGCTGGCTACATCCACTGCTATCAGGGGATGAACAGCCCACAAAAAGCAACTCCTTGGTAATGATGCTGTGTCACTCAAGAATACACCAATTTTTCCTCAAAACAGTGAGGTGAACCAAATATACACTGATCTTTAAGACCATTTCCATTGTAACAGTCATTCATACTGTTACAATCAAGTTTATTTCTCAGAGATTAGGAGGAAAATGTCACTGTACTCTATTTCCCTAAAACCTGACATTGTGAATGTTAAACCTTCACATCCCAGTGACCCTTGCCTTCTTGATCTATCACTGAGTTTGTGAACAAGTACTCTGGTAGCTGGCTGGAATAAGTAGTATGTTTTGATGAGTTTGGCAGCTGGTCTAATTCTTTTGGCATGTATGCCAAGTCGCTGCAGTCATGTCCGACTCTTTGAAACTATATAGACTGTAGCCTGCCAGGCTCCACGGTCCATGGGGTTCTCCAGGCAAGAATACTGATTAACACATTTTTTCCTCCTTCACATTTTTGGACTCTTTACTTCTTTTGCCCTTTTTGTTTAAAAAAAGTTACACGTAACTCATCTGCTAACTTTGAGTTATAACCTTCGCTCTGCATACTTAAGTTTCTGTGAAGAAGAAAGTAGGGAGATAGTCCTAGGTACACACAACAGGCAAAGTACTCCATATCCACCATCTTGTTTAATGCTGGCCACAAATCCAGAAGCAGGTATCATTAACCTCTACAGATGAGCAAACGGAGACCAAAAAAAGGCAAGAACTAGTCCAGAACAGTACTGCTAGTATCTGATAACACTGCCTCAGAGCTGTCTAGCGTCAAAGCTCTGGCTTATAGCTACTACACTATGCTCTCTAAACACAAGAAACAGACAGAAATCTTAGTTAATTCATATGTTAATCCATTATGTAAAGATATTTCAATGTATAATGTTGGGAAATCTGTTTTCCTTTGTCAGTAGTTGTGATTTTTAGGTGTCAGTCAGAAAATAAATGTTTTCAAACAAACAAGAGGTAAACAAGCTTACCACTGCATGTTTTTCCATCTGTGTCAAGCACTGAGCCTTCAGGACAGAAACATATGGGACCGTCTGATGTCAGAACACAGTCATGACTGCATTCAGACACATTGCTTGGGCAGGAAATTAACTCTAATGAATGAAAAATAAGGTCAAAATTAATGTTAAATCAGATTTATGGAAATTTGGTAAAATCAGTTGCTAACAAAAAAAATGATCTCCTGAAAATAATAAGTTAAATAAAGACTGAACATTTATGAGTTGCTATGGTAATGGAGATATAAAAATAAAGAAAAAATCCCAAATCTAAAGCAAATTAATGAAAGACTTCTGATTTTGGAAAAATGACTCGTTTCCTCCAAGTTTCTCTTCTGTCAAATATTATTTTTAAGTTATTAGTCATTAAAATTCCAAAATATTTTAGATAGAACTTGGGCAAATGATTCTCAAGCTCACCTAGAAAACAAATTATATGGCTATGAAAAATAAAAACATCATGTGACTATCACTAGATGAAAGAAGAGAATGAGAGGCAGTAAATAAATATCAAAATGTATCATAAAGGTACAATAATTAAAACAGTTGGTAATGTGTAAAAATAGATCATGATGATAATAGAATCAGATAGAAAGTTCATTTTAGAAAAGACTCAAGTACAGATAACAACATAGTATGTGATAAAGCTATTTTAAGTCACTGAGCATATGGAATATCATCCAGTAAATGGTAAATAAATGAGTAATGATTTGGGGCAAAAATTAAATCCCTGTACTATACCACACATCAACATAAATTCTAAGTAAATCAAACATTAAAATGTAAAATATATACCATAGAAGTTCTAGAAGTTTGGAAAATCAAGTGAGATTATGTGTGTCCTGTTTGGCATATAATGAACTCTGTAACATATTAACATCATGCACTTAAGTACAGCTTTTCACAGGTAAACCATATGGCATTAGAAGGGCGAGTTCCATAAACAATCACAAAGGTGGCGGGTAATTTCCAAGAAATTTATTACCATTCATCCATTATTCTGTGCCTCATTCAGTAAGACATATGACACTTTATCATCTGTGAAGCAGTATTTTTTTTGGCTACACTGACTTTTAGGACCTTAGTTGCCAGACCAGGGCCAAAGCAGGCCCTGTGGCAATAGAAGCACGAAGTCCCTTACCGCTGGACAACCAGGGAATTCCCACATAATTTTAAACCTTTGTTTCTACTTAGCTATGTTAGTAGATTCAACAAGAAACCTATAAGAAGTTATTTGAATATGTAATCCTAAACTTGAATTGAGAATATCCATAAAAACTCATATTTCTCTTTTTAAAAAGTGCTTTCCTAATTTTGATGCCCCCAAAGCCCTCAAAACAATAACTAACTTTGTAGCGAATTATGTTATTTAAAATAATTTCTTGTTAAAAGGAAGCCTTGAGAGACTGCTGATTCTAGGTCTAAAACATAATACATATAAGACAAGATGGGAAAATATGTCCTGCCAGGTGAGAGAAAACTATCAAAGACTGCTGGGATCTGAAATCCATTTGGAGAGTCTCCCATCAGCCGAAGAGGAAACAATTTGCTCATTGGTAAGCATAACAACTGCATTGGATTGAAACATATAAAAAATGTTAACAATTCAGGAGTTCATAATGATACTTAAAAAAAAATTCCCAAAGTCCTTCTACGAAGACACTATCACCCTGATGCCAAAACCAGAGAAAGACACTACCAAAAAAGAGTTACAGGACAGTATCTTTGATGGATATAGATGCAAAACTCTTCAAGAAAGTATTAGCAAACTGAATCCCACAACACACCCAAAGGATGATCAAGTTGGTCACCATGATCAAGTTGGATTCATTTCAGGGTCACAAGGATGGTTTAGTATATGCAAATCAATTGATGTGATACACCACATCATCAAAAGAAGGACTAAAATCATATAACTCAGAAAAAGCATTAGATAAAATTCAATATCCATTCATGATAAAAACTCTTGCAAAAAGTAGATATAGAAGGAACATATCTCAATAGATATGACAAAGCACAGCCAGTATAGTGGTGAAGAGCTGAAAGCCTTCCCATTAAAATATGGAACAAGAGGATGCCCACTCTCACCACTTCTAGTCAACACAGTATCAGAAGTCCTAGCCACAACAATCAGACAAGAAATAAAAGGTATCTGAATTAGGAGGATAGAGGTAAAACTGTCAATATATGCAGATAGCATGATACTTTATATAGGAAACCCTAAAGATACCACACAAAACTATTAGAACCAATAAATAAATTTGTTACAAGACTAATATACAGAAATCTCTTCCATTTGTTTACACTAATGATGAAATATCAGAAAGAGAAAGTTTAAAAAATCAATACCATTTATAATTATATCAGGAAAAGAAAATATGTAGGAACAAAGCTAAGCAAGAAGGTGAAAGACTTGTTTGCTGAGAACTATAAAACATTAGCAAAGAAGACCAAAGGTGATTCAAGGAAATGGAAAGATACCCCATGATCTTAGATTGGAAAAATTTTAACAATATTGCTAAAATGGCCAATCTACTGAAAATAATATACAGATTTACTGTGATCTCTATCAAATTACCCATGGTGGTTTTCATAGAACTAGAACAAATAATCCTAAAATTTATCTGGAAACACAGCAGACCCAGAAATGAAAAAGCAGTCCTGAGGGAAAAGAACAAAGCAGAAGGCATAATCCCTCCAGATTTTAGACAAAATACTACAAAGCTACAGTAATCAAAACAATATGGTGTTAGCACAAAAACAGACATGGATCACTGGTGCAGAATAGAGCCCAGAAATACACTCACATACCCGTGGTCAATTAGTCTTTCACAAAGGAAGCAAGAACGTACAATGGAGAAAAGACAGTTTTTTCAGCAAGTGGTGTTCACATGCAAATCAGTGAAGTTACAACACTCCCTCACACCACACACAAAGATAAAAACAACATAAAGACTTAAATATAAGACATGACATTATAAAACTCCTAGAAGGGAACATAGCAAAAACATTCTCTGACATAAATTGCATCAATGTTTCCTTAGGTCAATCTCCTAAGGCAAAAGAAATAAAGACAAAAATAAACAACTTGGGCCTAATTAAACTTACAAGCTTTTGCACAGCAAAGGATACCATAAACAAAACCAAAAGACAACAAGCATTGCTGGTAAGGATATAAATTGATGCAGCAAAGGAGGTTCCTTAAGAAGTGAAAACTAGAGTTACCGTGTGTGTGTGCTTAGTCGTTCAGTCCTGTCCAACTCTTTGCATGGCTCAGATGGTAAAGTTACCATATGATTCAACAACTCCACTACTGGCGTATATCCAGAAAAACCAAAAGCTCTAATTAAAAAAGATACATGCACTCCAACGTTCATAGCAGCATTATTTGCAATAACTGAGAAATGGAAGCAATCTAAGTGTCCAGGAACAGATGAATGAATAAAGAAGATGTGAGATGTATATACAATCGAATATTCAGTTCAGTTCAGTCTCTCAGTCATGTTCAACTCTTTGTGACCCCATGAATCGCAGCATACCAGGCCTCCCTGTCCATCACCAACTTGCAGAGTTCACTCAAACTCATGTCCATCGAGTTGGTGATGCCATCCAGCCATCTCATCCTCTGTCATCCCCTTCTCCTCCTGCCCCCAACCCCTCCCAGCATCAGGGTCTTTTCAAATGAGTCAACTCTTC